GAGGCTCTCTGTGCAAGTAGTCGAAGTAGGAGGCTCTCTGTACTGTACCTACAATTACAAATAAGAGGCCCCCTGGGTAACTTAGATGCAACACAAATCGGAGGTCACCTATAAAAAAAGCGGGACTCTGTTGGAATACCTGATTTAATAAATTATTTTCCTGATATTCAAATTACTTAGGTAATCCTCGTCCGCACATGGGGGGGGGGGCAGTGGTTGCCACACCCCCCACCCCGACCTAGGTAGTTTTTTCTGCTCTGCACTAAACATTTTGATTGCTAGAAGTCGGATATTTCGTATAGCTGCTGCTCTATCCTTTTTTAGCGTCCACTGAAAATTTCAAGTTTCTGTGGTTTTTGGTTTCGGAGATATGACCTTATTCTTCAGGTAATGTCATAACCCAAATGACAAATACCCAATATCTTGCGTTGGCGTTGGGTCTTGTGAGCTTTTGACACCTTGATTTCGGCCTTTTTTGTCAGTCTTACCTCCCACCTATCATGGAACATGTTGTTCAATGATGTAGAGATGCCAGGGTCAGGGTCAAGGTCAACCTAGGTCGTCTAAAAATATTGCGTTTTAGGCAAGCTGAATTTACTTTCGTGAAGTTTCTTTGACTGTATTTTTGGCAAAAGCTTCTCAGTTCATGATCTCATGTAATATGGACACATTCACAGTCGGTGCACACATCAGTATACTCGTACACACAGACACACACAGACATACAAACACATGTCATTGACCTTGAGCTAACTTGACCTGAAATGACCACAGCCAGCAAAAACCTAGTCGGATAGTGTGACAAAGAGGTTCTAGCTGGCTTGGCACCACAATACGGCAGCGTCATCGGTACATGATGAGCAGCGCACGTGATATTCCAACGGGCAACGGTGACCCCAAACAGCAACATTCTTTAGTTTGACCTGACCTGGAAGGTCAATGACTGACCTGATGAGGTAAAATTGGTATCATTGGATTCGTCACTTCCCAAAGAATCTGTTGCTCTTGACCGCAAGGCTTAAAATCTTGTAAGAAAAAATTGTGGTGATGTCGAATAAGATACCTACACAAGCAGCGGGCCAACCCATCATATACCGATGACGCTGCCGTATTAGTGCCAAGCGAGCTAGAACAGCTCTTTGTCACACTATCCGACTAATTTGCTGGCTGTGGTCATTTCACGTCAAGTTAGGTCAAGGTCAATGATATGTGTTTGTATGTCTGTGTAATGTGTATGTCTGTGTATGTACTGATGTGTGCACATATCGGTTTGTGTGTCCCTATTACACTTGATCATGAACTGAGAAGCTTTTACTAAACATACAGTCAAAGAAACTTCACGAAAAGTAAATTCAGCTTGCCTAAAGCGCAATAATTTTAGATGACCTAGGTTGACCTTGACCCTGACTCTGACATCTGTACATCGCAGAACAACATGTTCAATGATAGGTGGGAGGTAAGACTGGCAAAAAAAAGCCGAAATCAGCGTGTCAAAAGCTCACAAGGCCCATAGCCATCGCAAGATATTGGGTATTCGTCATTTAGGACATGACATGACCTGAAGAACAAGGTCATATCTCCAAACCCAAATGCCGCAGAAGCTTGAAATTTTCAATGGACGCTGAGAAAAGATAGAAAAGCAGCTATACAAAGAAAATCAGGTTTCTAGCTTTAAAAATGTTAAGTGTAGAGCAGAAAAACTAACTTGGGGGTGGCGACCCTCCCCCCAGGTGCCGGCGAAGGTTAACCCTCACACTTTCTGGGGTCGGCTTACGGCTAGATTCCTTGCGCAATGCTGTGCCGTTAATTTTTTTTCTATTATAAAGGCATTGTGTTTTATTGTCAAAAGTGAAAAAGCCAGAAATTTTCGTCGATTTCGGATGCCGCGGGGGATATTTACATACAATGTCACCCTGCTGGCCTGGATCCACCAGTAGGGTCAGGTGACCTACCATTTCTTTATCGATATTAAAAAAAAAAAAATCATGGCATCAGAGCTGTGACGAAAAATAAGTGGCCTAAATCCGATGAGAAAACTGGATTTGGGGGTACCCCATGTTTGGCTTCTGAGCCTCTGGTCCCCTCAATGAAAATTTCTTAGAGGAGGCCCTGGCGTGGCTCGTAAATTACCGCTTCCGCAATTGGAGGCCCCTAATTGCTTGGAGGCCCCCACTAAATGGAGGCCCCCTTGGACGTTTGGGACCCCAATGGTGATGTCAAAGTTTCACCCATGGTGGAAGTTCACTTCTTTACTAACCCTCGCTGGGAGGATCACTCGGCGGACCGTTAGGCACCGGCTCATTTGCGGCCTCGATGTCCCTAGGCAGCTGGCAGTGCCTGACTAGACGGTCTGCGCACCCCCCGTTCCGGTCGCAGCTTCCGGACAGCCACTTCGCTACCGCATTGCCGACAGTAGGCCTGCCGCAAGGCGCGCTGACGAGTTGCAGGACGTCTGCGGGAAGACATGAGGGAAAATCAGACATTCAATTCATGAAAAAATCACAAAAATACCTGCACCACTTTCCGTAACAGTGCGACAGGCTAGATCAAACTGAAACATGTCAACACCTTAGAGGCTAGAGCTACAATGAACTATAGCCTAGACCGCACGATATTACAAGGCACAATCTTGCAAATGCTACTCGTAAATGGTACTTTGACTTACCAGTCAAAACAACAATCGCATCAAACGCAGACAACTGGCGCTATCTTTCATCTTCCAGCTATCTCAGCCGCGCCCGCCGCCGGCCCTCACTGCTCGCTCGCGCCGCGTAGACTGCGGCTCGGCCGGCTGGCTCTGAACGCCGGCCGGTGACACTGACGTCACGGCCCCTCAGGCGAGGTCAGGGCGCGAGCCACCGTTCGCCTGAGTGGCGGCCCGCGTGGCTTGCTGGCAGCCGCGGGTAACAGCCGCGTTTACATAGGGATAGTTGCAAGCCTCTAGCTCCGCCTGTGATGTTGCAAAACATGCCAATGACGCTTTGCAATTTACACATGTTATATATATATATATATATATATATATATATATATATATATATATATATATATATATATATATATATATATATATATATATATATATATATATATATATATACAGGGGCGTCGTTTTGTATATGCCTGGGAGTGCCCGAGCACTACCAATGTTCAGCTGAGCACTACCAATGTGTTGTTGAGCACTACCAACATTTTTCTTCACTTATTGAGAAAATTGCATTCAAACATGTCATACAAATAAAATGAATGAGGTTCTTATATAAAATCAGTATAAATATAAAATCATATAAAATGAGGTTCTTATATAAAATCAACATGATAGCAAGTAACTTCAATGGTAAGTGGTAACTATTGATGAAAATCTATAGACTTACTCCACAAGTAGATTGAATTTGAATTGGTTGACCAATTCAATCTTCTTGTAGCGTACCTAAGTCCATAAATTTCCATCAATACATTACCTAGGTATCATTTTCACTTTCCACATCATGTCATTACGTCAAGTAATTTCAAGTTATGTGGTACCTACCTACCTACCTACCTACCAAGTTTCACAATAATATATATATATATATATATATATATATATATATATATATATATATATATATATATATATATATATATATATATATATATATATATATATATATATATATATATATATATAGAATGTGTATATATATAGAATATATATATATATATATATATATATATATATATATATATATATATATATATATATATATATATAGATATAGATATAGAGAGATAGGGAGAGAAAGGTATCGCAATTTACTTGTAAAAACACCGCTAATTATTCAGTACCTATAATGTCAAGGTTGTGAAAAACCGTTTTAACAACGTGTTGGCGACCACCAGCTGACAACGTGAACAGTCCAAGTGTTAAAATATGTCAAATTTAACGATGAAAACTGAATATGCGCATTGAAAGTCAAAGGAAATGCATTATATGGCCATATATGTCACCATGCATTATCAAAATATAATGCTGCAAGTGCGCGGTTGCTGCAACGTACCAATAAAACGTTGTCACGACGTTTTACCACGACTTTCGGACCAAACCATGGCTTCACAACGTTCAGAACGTTGCTACAACGTAATTAAAACGTAATTTCGCAACTTACCGAAACACGACATTGTGACAACGTTGTAGTAACGTTTCCTGTTAGCTGGGTTTCTAGGACTTTTGTTCGATCTGAAAGGTGGGGCCAAAAGATAGTATGGCCCCACCTTTCAGCACCAAAGGGGGGGCCATGGCCCCCGTGGACCCCCCTGGGACCGCCAGTGGATGCAATGACCAATGAGTTCACTGCGACGGAAAAGACCGCCAACAGTCGGCAGGCTCACCCAGAGCTCCCACCCACACCACATGAATAAGGATTCAAGTTTTGAAAACATGTAAAATCATGAGAATGTTTTTGGTATTAAGCGTAAAAAAACAGTTCTTTTTTATACGACAGCAAGACCTAAGAATTTTATAATTACCAATTACCTTAGGACAGACAGACGAGACAGACAGCGCTCTCCGTGGGGCACCGAGACTGTCATGTTGTAGAAAAAGAAAAACACAGCAATCGCCACGAGTTTTACGATTTGGACAGCTATTTTACCACAACCTTGAAATCAAGTAAATAAACGCAGAGGCTACGATAGTGGCGCAGGCAATTTTCATTTTCAAATGCTTATATTTTGGTTTTATTAACATTTTCACGAAAATATCCAGAGAATATTACATATAGCATTTCGTTACCGATATAAGTGTAAACCCATCAGTCGTAACAGCATAGATATATCTATGCATAACAATATGAATAGTTTGAACTCCTCTCACCAGCATAGCTACCCATCATCATTGATGCAATTTCAATTCTAGTTTCATCGGGCTGAATCATGGAATCGATGTGTGGTAAATGCATGTAAAAGTTGGATAAATTGCATCGGAATTTGTCTTTTGAGATTACTCATAACTTAACATATGAAATCTCCTTTTAGTGAAAAAACTCTAGAAAATACAGATTACAACTTGGGTGCCATGGTAACTGGCTAGAGCCTAGAGTAGAGGAGAGCCCTTTTTACAGCCCCTTAAAAGAAACTTCCTAAGTCTCTTGTTTTGTAACTCCAGATAAAGTTTTCGCTAGAAACGTGAAGGTTCCCTCCCTACCTACTTAGTCCCTACTCCCTAGCGTTTTCATTTTAGGAATACGAATGCGATTAGCATCGCAACGTGCTGTAATGCAACTATCTGACGCTTCCTGTCATCTTACAACATCTTACCAACATCTATATCAACAACATCTTACCTGGCAATCTGAGAAATATACCTACCATTTATTTTACACTAGAGGCAGGTATTGAGTTTTTTTTTTGTATAAAAGAGCCCTAGTTGCAGTCACTATGTTTCGTACCTAACAGTTGTCACTGTCATTGCAAGGGACAGTTTAGTGTTTCTGTCACCATCGGTATGGTGCTGGTCTGCTTCTCGGCAGAAAAGGTATCTTGCTCACTTCACCCATGAGAGGCTGAAGGAAGCCAGCTAGTAGTTTTGATATTTGACAAATTTGTGCTACATTGCTGACTGGTAAATAGATGGTAACTGAACAGTTCCTTGAATTCACACACATCAGCTAGCATTTTGCAGGACAATGCTAACCATGTTTTTTTTATTCCAGATTTTATGAGTTGATTTGGTATCAGTTAAGACTCAAGAGACATGAGCTGCTGGACAGAGAAGCCTTGGCCAGCCTCCCGCTCTGAGGTTTGACTGTTCAGTGTTGACTGGCCAGTCTCCACGCCGGCCCCAGCTCCACTCCCCCTCGCCACTCCCCAGTCCTCGCCATGCGCTCGTGTCCCCCGGAGGACGACGAGGACTGGGGTCTCTGCTCGGACCTGGACGACTCCGAGGAGGAGGTCGGGCTGCGCCAGGCCGGCGGGCCGCTCCGCTGCTGGCAGAGGGCCGGCTTCAAGCGGCTGACAATCGACGAGCGCCGGCCGCCGGCCGTGCTGCCGGCGCGGTACTCGGTCAGCGCCTGTTGCGCCGTCTGCGGCCGCCGGCCCGGCGCCGGACACCCGCTGGCGCCGCTGTTCGACGACACCAGCTTCGTCAGCATGGCCGACGTGGTGAAGGACGTGGTCGGACTGGAGTTCTCCGTCAGCACCAACCCGCACGAGAACGTCATGTGCGGCGACTGCCGCGGCCACCTGCTGGCGCTGCACACCATGCGCGGCTGGCTGGCCGCCCTGCAGAGACAGTTTGTCCGGATGGTGGTCTGTACCAACAGCGGACGGCGCAGCGCCAAAATACTCGTACCGAAGGCGTACCGCGGTGTGGACTTTTTCAGCCGTGAGGCGCCCTTCCTCGAGCTGCTGGAGAGCAGTGGTCGTACGGTGGATGCAGTGACTCGAACAGAGCCAGGGCGGCAGAGAGCGGGTGAAGCGGGGACGGTAGGTGAGAGTGAGGACACCTCCGGGGTAGTGTCGGGTGCAGACAGTGAGCGGGTGACACGGACGGACCAAAGGATCACTGAGTGTGGGGTGGATGACTCGGAACAGTGTCAGACAGGCGCGGCGCAGCCCAGTGTGACGAGCAGTGACGCGGTGGGTGATGGCGAGACGCAGAACCTGCTCGATGATGCTCCACCGGTAGTGGGCGAGACTGTGACAGTCGTGGAGAGCGGACAATCCTCGGATATGGCTGTTGACGAGGCGCATCAGAAGGAGGTTCCTTCAGCATTGCGGCCACAACCCCTGCACCAGCCTGAGGAGCTGACGGGGTCCCCACAGCAGCAGCAGTCGCCGTCTTTTCGTCCCTCCGAACCACCGCTCCACCTGTCTCTGCCGCAGTCCGCTTCTGACCTTCACCAGCCTCCGTCCTCTCTGCATCGCGCCGCTCTCACCCAGCCGCCAGAGCCTCCTCAGTCCGCCCCGGCCGCCCCCTCCACCCCGCCGCGGCCGGCGGCGACCGGTGCAGACGCCACAGACCCGGCCGGGCTGCTGGACCCGTTCGAGGAGTACTCCATCAGTGACCTGCTGGTGCTGCGCTCTCCGCTGGCCGCCCGACCGCCCGCCGCCCCAGAGGGACCGCCGCCAGCCAAACTGAAGAAGATCGCTCCCAAGATTGATCGAAGAGATCTGCCACCGCAGCCGCCGCCCATCGTTCTTAATGTAAGTGAGGACGGACTACATGCAATAAATTAAAACACCGTCCGCTTTGTGTGTATAATCATACCGATTTGACTAGGTTCTCAGTTGTTAGGATTTGTCTGCATATGGTCAGTTTATTTTTAGATTGTACCGGCCAATAGCCATTCGGGTAAAGCCATTATCGTGGATCAGCCTAGGTGGTAGTGTGATCATCACTCGTAGCGGGCTGATTTAAACCTCGCTCCGTTTCAGATAATGGCGGTGTCGGCTCCGGTCCAGGCCACCCCCAATTTCAAGGCGATCGTGCCCCGGCGGCCGGAGGACGACAGCCACCACCCCCGGGCCGTGGCCGGCGCGCCGACAGAGCCCGGTCGGCGATCGCAGCGCCGCCTAGCGGCCACCGCCAGAGACTCGCGCCGTCAGCGCCGGGCCTTGGACGTCGGGCCAGCGCCGCCGGCACTGCCGTCACAGCAGCAGCATCAACAGCATCAGCAGCACCACCACCAGCATCATCATCAGCAGCAGCAGCAGCCTCAGCACGAACGGCACCGGGACCCGGCCGGGTACCCCGAGCCGATGGTGTTCTTTAATCCTGACGGCAGCATCCCGGCGCCGCCGTACAGTGCGCAGGTGGAGGCTGAGACGGCCGGTATGGCGGCGGCGGGCGAGTACACTCAGCTGCAGACTGTGCCGCCGGAGCAGCCGCCCCCGCCCCCGCCCCCGCCCCCGCCGGAGCAGGCCGCGCCGCCACCGAGTGAGTACAGACACTCGGGTGCATTCGCGGTGTCACACAGTGAGATGGGCTGCTATGATGCGGACTACACCATATATTTGGATCAGGGAGTGCCGGAGGAACACGATAGCACCCACCAGAGGCAGGAGACTGCTCAGGAGCGACCGGGCCGAGAGCACTCGTCGGCAGCGCCGCAGGCGGCCGCTGTGGAAAGGTCAAGTGCGTCGGACACTCACCAGGTGTCTCTAAAGAATAGTTCAGAGAGCGATTCTCTGTATAGAGAGGTGCCTCGGATCTGCAAACCGTGCGGGGTGCCAATCAGCTACGAGATGATTCAGGTGCGGAAACATTTGGTGGAGTTTCACATGAGCCTGGAGAGGAACGACTTGACGGGGAGCACCCTGTACCGGTGCCGCGCCTGCCCGGCCAAGGTGAGTACCGACTTCCGAGTACTGGCTACTGAGTACCGGGGAGCATGGGTGTGGATTTCCGCTCAGTTTTGGGTGCCCGGGCGCAGCAAACCCGTCGTCGTCCTAGCGGTGCCCTTGACCCGCGCCGTTTGTAGTGGCTCCAAAGCCAAGCCAGTGTGGAATTGGGTGAGCTCGGGCACCCCCAACTCGGCGGAAATCCACAGTCCACGCCCACGTCCGTGCCGGGAAGCATGCTATTCCCCCCCCCCCCCTCGGCGGCATGTGCACGGCGTCAGCGTGTACCATAATCCGCGGAAATCTTCCAAATTCGAGTGGACTCTGTCGGAAATTTCGGATGTTTTAATGCGGTGTTATTCATAAGAAGGCACTGAAATCCATGGAATGAAGTTTGCTCTGCTGTCAATGCTCTCTGACAAGTCTTTACTGGCTTGCCTGTTGTCTACCAGCCGATAAATTGCACGATCCTTCTCTGAAATATTTAAATAGTCTTATATCTACGGTTCGGTTTGCAGTTTCTCCTTGATTCCTCCACGACTTCGTGTTCCCTTTGATCTGGTTTCTGGTTGATGGCGTGTCAAGGTATCTGATGACGGCCAAGTAACTGTTCCCTCACGGCTCACGATGAACGATGCCAAGTCGCTGACCTATGTGCTGCCCTTTCGTCTCTGAGCCTGTTTAATTGATCCGCCGTTCGCCTTTGCCAGTCCCGATCCGTCTTCGTTCCCCGTGGGGCGCTCGGTGCCGCGGTCCCAATTAATGGACGTCTCACATGATAGCAGACTCTCCTCCGCACCGGGCCCGTGTAATAGCAACAGATGACAGTGATTACGAGCCGCGCCAACTCGCCGTATGAGGCGCGCCTCGTTATGGATGCAGCATTATGACGGAGCGGTCGACTTCCACGAACAGGCCGTCGCCGAGTCAAGTTTCGATGGCTCGAGTTTTGTTCATGAGATTCGGACTAACTAGCGTCGTGATTGCGTCCCCGGTTATTAGATCGAACTGAGTTCCATTTGGTGAGTAGGTGATTGAGTGCTGGACACGTTGTGAATTTATTACGTGGGTTGTGAACTTCTCAGTTGGTGACTTCCGGACTTGTGGACTGTACGTCTATAGCGAATTATTTCCGTCTCAGCAATATGTGAACGTATTGCGGGCAGCTCATGACCTGGTACAACGTCTTAATCGCTGACCGGTTGACCTGGGTCGACATAAGCCATCGCCCACTTGTACCCCAGGCCAGCGGAAGTAGCTTGACGACTTCATTGGTTACTAACTGGTGATTCAACAGCAAAATTACAGAGCAACACTGATGAAATGGATAGCATGCGCCCTTGGTAAAGCCGACCACACTTAATACATATATTTAACTTCCACACTGCCACACACTTGCACACTGCAGTGCCTATAGTTGGCATAGCACGGGCCCAGAATGGGGCTTATTCCCTATTATTTACCGAAGCGTTGCACTCTGAGCAATGGTCTGGTCGCATCAGCAGTCAATGGACGGCAAATGCTTTGAACTTTACCTACATATAGGTGGCATTAACAAAAAGTCATTTCAGTACTTATATAATGTTTCCAACATTAGTTCCGCCGCATAAAACTATGCCCGCGTGCTACGGAACTAAAAGCGGCGGATGGCAAGTGACATTTAAATGTCAGTCATGCTCATAGCCAAGCGCAAAGGTAAAACAAGAAACATTGCGTCACAATGTCATGTTATGGCCATTCGGAATGCCGAAACAATATTGGAATGGCACTGTCACAAAAAGGACAGCGACAATATTTGCCCAGGTCTCGTATTGGTTCTTGCTTATTATATATTTATGGTCTATGGACCTTACCTTGGTGGAAAATAGCCATTGGAAATGGCTATTGCTCTATGTGATCGGCTTTGGTCTTGTATTTTTTCTATCCTTCATTTATTGCAGTCATCATTAAAATGTTTCAAATCATGATAGTGTATTTTTTTTTTTGAAGATGCACTGCATTAATTATCATAAATACTAAGTTCCTACCACCGTCCTATTGTCTCTTCTTCGACAAAACATTTACAAGATTTCAACTGCCGAAGTGTTGCTTCAATGTGGTGAACTTCCATTTCACTACTAGTCAAACCCGCCTGGCCTGTCTTTATGCTGACGCGGCAGCCGGAACTGTCGCCGACATAAGCACGCATGTCGCAGTCGACACAAAAAGAGCCCGGCCTGGACCGTGAATCATGGCCACAGAGCGTCGTCCACTCTCTCGGCCTGCGGGCCATATCTTACCTAGCGTCCATACATCTTTTCTTATTGGCCTGACTGGGCGGCTTTGGCGGGCGGCCGGGCGCTGCGTGCCCTCCTAAATGTCGACACGGAGTGCGCCCAGGCCACTCTCCCGCCGACCGCCGACCGACCGTGAGCTGATTTGTGGCTGAGAGTTTAGCCATCTGTTTGGAGAGAGAGAGGAACCGGCCGCGGTCGCCCCCCCCCCCACCCCCCACCCCCGGCAGGCAGATTGCAGCTTCCGCACGAAACCGCGCCCGAGCCGCGCCCGGGGATTCGGCTCTGCATTCAGTAAACACGGGGCCGCAGCGCCGTGGTAGTAAAACGACAGCACAGCCCTCAAAGTGGACTTGATTTAGCGTTTGCGCGCCTGGCTTTTGGCCAACATCGAGATGAAATGCGGCATTTGTGAGTTGTCGGCTCGTTCGGGCGAGTCGTATGCTAGTTTTTTCTAGTACTAGGGATGTTACATTCGTCGGAATATTCTGTTAGGCACTCAGCGGAGATAGCGTTTCGGGGAACCCGGAATTTTTGCATTGTCAATAATTGACATTACAGCGATCTTACATTGTAAGACTGAGTAGCTATCCACTTCTCAGTGAAGCTCATTGAAGTGCATTGTTGCTCTGTGTATGTTTATTGTTCATCATCGTTCCCATATTCGCCACAAAGTTTTTGTTCCAAACGTTCTACGGTTGCAGCTATTCGGTTGTTTTCACCCGACTAGCTACGATGTTGTCACGTTTTCCTTCTCACACACCCATGCAAACAGGCAACAGCCTTCCGCAGGCTTCCCCTCCCCCACCTCTCATCCTCCTGCAGTCTGTGCAACCCCCCCCCCCCGCTGAGGCCTGACCTCCACCATCGGTGACTGTGCGTGTTGGCACGCGGCGCCACCGCCGGACCGCCGACATCCTCCAACTTTAGGGACGCGGCCGCGGCCGGCGCCGCTCCCAGCCCGGCCCGGTCCGGTTCGCCGCGACCGGCACGGGGTCAGGTCACGCGAGACGGGCTTCCGAGCCGACATTTCAGCGCAGACATTCAGTCAATATGCTGCCGCTCGGCCGGACGGGCCCAACAGGCCCTTGACCTTCTGAGGAGCGACGGGCCTGCCGAGCATCCGGCGCTGGGGGGAGGGGAGGCTCCAGACGGGCGCCCCGGGGCGGGGAGGCGGCGGTGGTGTCTTGTCGGGGATACCAAGACGGTCGATGGAGTCGTCAAGTTTGACAAAAAAGTATCGTCTTTGTCTGTTTTGATTTCGGGCGTTTCGGTCGAAGCGACCACTTCATGCCCTTTCGTCTTAATGGGTCAGCAAAGTTGCTCCTACCGCACACCGTATACCTACAATATTTATCTCCAATCCTGACCCCGATTCTAGAATCGCTCCCAGCGCCCTTCCCAGCACCCACACTGCGCAGTCCACTCACAGTCCACCCCTCAGTCCCCACCGACCGCCTCCGTCCGTTCAGCAGGCTGTATCCCCCGCTGACAGACGAGTGTCATCGCCGTCGTGCGCGGCCGCCGGGCCCGGGCCGGCTCGGCGGCTGGTTAGCCGCGCCGCACGTGAGGCCACTGCCGATGCCCGGCGCGGCCTCTGAACGGAGCGGAGCGGCCTCTGAACGGACTGCCGGACATCACCTGTCTCCATCAGTTGAGAGTTGAGACCGGCCGCAGAAATGGCCTGCGTGGGACGGTCAAAGAGGGTCGGCCCCAGCGGCGCCGCGCTATTCTCGGCACAACGGGCACTGGCAAAGGGCACGGCAGTCGTTAATTTCACAAATATGTTGAGTGATTATTGTGGACGATTTTTAAAGGTTATTTCTTATTTAGTGGTCGGACCAGTCTGTGCGGTCTAATGACAGGTAAAAAGAAAAGACTGCCTTCCAATGCCACTGCTCCGATGCGTTCTGAGAAATCTAATGATCCTTCTTTCTCAATGTGCGCGCTTTCAACTTCAGATGAGGACAATTGCACAAAGAGATCTAACGCCGTTATAGTACATTTTTGTTGTCTTTTTGCTCCCCCATGCATTATTCTTACATGCTCGGTGGTGTACAAACACCACACAGATGACATTTCTGGCGCGGCCGGGCGCCGCCAGGCTCCCTTTCATCTTGCGGTCCGTCGTCTAATTGTATTAGGGCCGGCCGCGCTCCGGCATTAAATAGTTTGTTTGGGCGCGACCTCGCCTCTCGGCCTCTGCTAGCTGGCGCCTCGGCAGCGGCGGCCGGCCGACCGGCCCGGCACACCGTTCCAAACGAGCTGAGTTGGACGACTGACGGACAGCAGCGCCCGTCACCGCGGCATGGTGACCTCTGGTGCGCCTTTGGGGGCCATTTCACTTTGTTTTGCATTCTATCTACACTGTTACCTTGCCTCATTCAAGTGCCATAGTTTATGACATTGGCTCGTACCTTTCACTCCCACACGAATTCCCACCGACACACTTTTGAGTTTGTTTCTTGTAGGCGAACTTCCTAACTTCCTATTTCCTAACGCCCACACCTGAGCCGAGCCAGGGTGCATTCCAATCACGCTTCTGGGAAATGTTTGAGACGACACCTGGCTCGGCTGGCGTCGTCGAGAGGCGTCGGTGTCGACTTTTCTTTGTCGCCCTCCTGAGGGCGCACGGAGCTCCGGCACGCGCCGCAGCCGCCGGCGGCGACGGATGGCGATCGACCTGGCGGCGCCCGTTTGACTCGGTCGACTGTTGTCGTCGAGTGCTCGATC